TGGAGGCTGTGACTTGCACCAGGGCCTATTGAAGATGTCATAGCAACCAAGAGGTGCCAGTTTGTTTTTGTTTACTTAACTTTTGTGCCATAATAAAAAATCTCATGCGCTTTTGCAATGTTGAGTATCTTGTGTATATCAGTAGCAATTAAATCCATTGCAATTCCATGTTGTGATGCTACAAAACGTGTAAAAGTCAAAGGTGCCCAAATACTTCTGCAAGGCCCTGAATGCAACCAGAATATACAATGGTCCCAGATGATGATGAAGGTGGGCATACGAAAGCTTCTGGAATACTAGGAAAGTCTCCACTGATACTTACACCTCTTTTCTAGTTTACATGTCATGAAACAGAAATATATACATTCCTGGGTGAAACACAGTCCTTGATTAGGACTACCTCTAAGAGAGGTAAATGTGGAAGCGGGGAATACCCCCACTTAAACATTACTTTCACATCAAGCATTAGCCACAAAAGATCATGCAATTGTTAAGACATTCACAAAGAAAACCCTGTGCTGATTAAATATGATAGAAGCACTTTCAGAGAAACTCTTTATTTCCTTGTAGCAAACAAACCTGCATAGCAGGTTACAAAAGTGAATATGAGAAAAACATCGTCAAGACATTCCATTTATTGAAAGGAGAAAGGAAAAGACAATCACATTTTGTCCTAAGACTGGTACTTTTTGTAAAAATGGTACTGGAATTTTCCTGCTTATATTGTAAATGTAAGAACTTTGTTTTGTTATTCTCAATGGCCGCTTTTAATTCATTTTACCACTATTTCACTATTTAGCTTTTTCTTAACAGAGACATCATTTGAGATTAAACTTATCTGTAGGGTATTATAGTTAACTACTTGCAGAGTTGCATTAGTACAAGAAACAAAAATAGGGTCTATCAATGACAGAAATTTTGCGGTGCAACAAGTATCCATCAAACTGGGTGTATGTGTGTAATTCTGCAATTAAAGAGGTTTTACAGCATACTTTGTAAAAACAAATCCAAAAGTGATTGTTTGCAGCAGTTAGGACCCAAAGAGTGGTAGAAAACAACAGTGGTAGCGAGTCTTCCTAAATGATGGGCTCTCCTGAGAGTCTGCCTGGGATGATGGCATGCCAGCAATACAGAGTATTTCTTATTCAGTAGCAAAACCTTAAGAAGCTCATTGTGCAAAGGGTGCTACCCTCAAGATGTGATTCAGTGAATGAGGTGGCGGCTTGGCCTCTGGTACGGCCAGCTGGGTAGAGTCCAGCAACAGACCTGGCCCAATGTCAGAGAAGGGAGTTGCTGCTCCCTGTAGAAATGCCATTTCTCTCTCCAAGCTTCCTGTTCAGCTGCTAGTGAAGATAGCTGGCAGTGGCAGAAGCAGGGGACACCTCAGGAAAGGCCACCCCCAAATACTCATGGAACCAACTGAGAGCCAGTGTGGCGTAATGGTTAAGGGTTCTCGCCCCCACTCAGCCATGGAGCCAGCTGGGTGACTCTGGGCCAGCCATAGACTCCCAGCCCAAAATTCCATAAGCTACTCTGAGTTCCATGAAAGGCAAAAAAGCAGGATAGAAATATAATCAGGCTCAAAGTGCTTTATTTATTTGAGGGTAATATATCTTGTCTTCATCAGGACCTCAGCTTCACTGTTTTAACAGATCAGCCCCTAGAGTAGTGATGGCGAAGCCTTTAGAGACGGAGTGCCCAAACTGCAACCCAAAACCCAAAAGATCTGAGCAACTAAACTTCCTGGTTAAAGTGCTTGAGTAGCAGGTTCTGGGTTTTTCTTTTTCTTCTTTTTGGATGCTTCGCTGATTTCAGGAACTTTGGGATGGAACTTTCTGGATCAATTATCAAACTGGTTTCTGGTTTTGGCACTAAGATTGCCTTTGTTACCCTGTTCTTAGGAGAAAAACAATGGAAATGTCCCTGCGAATAGACCTTCTCTCAGTGGTTTTCATTATCACCGGTCATGGAATCCTTCGGAGTATTCTAGGAGGGAATGGCTTCTGAAGGATCACATCCAAAGGGTAGCTCTTGTTTGGCCCCATGGAGCCTCCAGTGTGGGATTCCACATGGTTTGGTCTTGTCTCCCATGCAATTTAATGTCTACATGAAACCACTGAAAAGGGTCATCTGGAGTTTTGGAGTGTCTTGTCATCAGCATGCTGATGAGACACAGTTCTGACACCGTTACTGCACAAGCAGATGGTAATAGAATGATGTGGGGCAGCTGCAGACAGACACATCTATTCCCAGCCTAGATGGGAGAATGTGCAACAGGTTCTAGATGGGATCATACACCCCACTACTGCTAAAAAAGACCCCCCCAAAAACCCAGATGCACAGTTCAAAGGGCACTCTTGGCTTCCACTGAAGCCTTCCATTGGCTTTAGTTTGATGGGGGTGGCCTGGCTTAGGTGTTTTATGCTCTGGTAACCTCTAGCTTATTGCAATGCACTTTATGTTGGGCTGCCTTTGAAGAGAGAGTCCAGAAACTGCAGCTAGTACAGAATACAGCCTCCAGGTATTTTAACCAGAATTATGTGCTCTGAGCAAACTAGTCCAGTTCTAGCCAGCCTGCATTTGCTTGCAATTTATTTCTTAGCTCAATTCCATATGCTGGTTTTTACTTCAACATAGCTCAGGACCCCAAAAATCCAAGGATCAACTTGTCCATCTGAGGCTTCTCTGTGTGCCCCAAGAGATGTTCAGGGTCAGTAATAATGGACTTTTCCATGGTAGCCTTGCAATTAAAGAGTGTTCTCCACAGGAAAGAGACAAAATTTGAACTTGTTGATCTTGCTGTAAGCACTCTGCATGATACAAATCCAGCAAAGTTCATTGCCTTGAGAATACCATTCTGTTATAGATGTGTAAGCCAGCCCAACATGTCAACCGGATTCAGCTGTCTATATGACATTTCTTAATTTAATCAGCATTATGCTTTTTCAGTTCAACAGTGCTGCAACTTTGACAAAATACTAGCTTGATTTTTTAAGCATATGTAGTGAAAAGAAAACAACATTGGTAAAAGCAAATTTTAGTTATCATTAATTAAAAAAAACTTTGTACATTCAGTAATTGCTAAAGGATTAAAGGCTTTTAGAAAGCTCATATAGGGCAGAGTGTAGCAGTTTGGCAAGAGTTTAGCATAGCATTCATATTACTGACTCTACTTACTTTTTCTTAGTTACTAAAAGTGAGGAATATACCATAGTTGACATACCAAATGTCATTTATACCAAATCTTTATTCCTATTAATACAAGAATGTTAGGTCCTTCATATGTTGGGGAAAGCATTAGCTAAAGAGTTTAAAGGAATCTCCAATTCTTCCAACAATAATTCTGGATCTACACAGCTGAAGCCCCTAGTTTCAAATCGTAGTCTCACAATTTCTGGAACGGCCCTGTAACTGTTCTAAAATACTGTTAAATAGTATGCTTCCTTCATAGTATTAGTTTTTCTTCTAGAGCATTATCTCCTTTTCTCCAAAAAATTTCAATTTATTTCTATTTTATTTTCCTTTGTTTCAGTTTTTACTTTAAGAATTCCATTTCCCTCCAGGACTTTTCACTTTTCTCTTACCCTATCATTAGCTCCAAAAGGGAATTTTCAGCTAAGGCACCCTTCATGGTCCTCCACAGCTAGCAGGAGGAGAGGTACACAAGCCAAAAAATTATCTGAAGTTAACAGCAAATACCAGACTTTGTCATCTGCTGCTGCCAAGCTCTGTGTAAGCAGCTGCTAACTTATGCAGAAAAATATGACATGGTATTTTGATTATCTTTTACATTTTTATGTTATCATACAGAACTACTTTTCTGGAGCTTTCCCCATGTAGACAGAAGAATATTAGGAGGAATGCTGTAGCCAGTGTTCACTCAAGAGGTAATTAGTGCTCCAATCTGTTTGGGCTTGAGGAAAGCAAATCCAGGCGCTCCTTTAAAACCTCAAATCAGTAGTGGTAATTCATTCAATACACATAGCATACTGCTACATACATGATTCCTGAAATGGGGTAACATATTTCTGAATTTTTAGAAGGCAAAAAATCTAAACCATATTCTAATGAAAGGTATCCTACAATATAGGCTCAATTGCTTTTCACATAAAAAAAGTCTACTCATTTAACGGGACTTCTGTTCCTCTGCCAGTACCTTAAAGGTAAAGGTTTCCTCTTGACATTGAAGTCCAGTCATGTCTGACTCTTGGGGGTGGTGCTCATCTCCGTTTCCTAGCTGAGGGAACCAGCCTTTGCCCACAGACAGTCTCCGTGGTCATGTGGCCGGCATGACTAAACACCAAAGTGCACGGAACGCTGTTACCTGCCCACCGAAGTGGTACCTTTTTATCTACTTGCATTTGCATGCTTTCAAACTGCAAGGCTGACAGGAGCTGGGATGGAGCAACGGGAATGTGCCCCGTTGTGCAGATTCAAACCGGCGACCTTTCGATCAACCAGCACAGCAATTTAAACCACCGCGCCACCTGCATCCCTGCCAGTACCTTACATGCTTGCATTTTTCAAATCTTCTCCTGAAGGCCATTTGTCCCATGAGCCACAGGAGAGAAAGCACCTATTCTGTCCACAGTGATTCTTCCACTGGCAGAAGTAAACCTTTGTAGACAACCCTATTATCTTAGCACTTGCTTCAGTGTGGCATACGTATATTCTGTAGCCGTCTCCATGTAAATTATGCAGCAACTCTAAACTTATTAAACTTATTATTACTTGGAATTAAATTATACTGAACCAGTAAGACTTTTTCAAGCATTATGTTTAAGATCAAAACATATTTTGTGGAAAACAAAACATGTTGTGATAGTTGTTTAAACATTTAACTAACATTTAAGAGATTGCTTGCATATGAAATCTGAAAAAGAGTTAAGTGCAGTTTCATTTTTATAAAGAGTTTCTCCAAGGTTATATTAAATAGTATTGCTTGTCTAATTTTCTAGAATAAACAAGTGTGTTTTCACGCTAAAGACAAGGCATTGAAATTTCAGAAAATACCCCTGTTTATTGATTAATAAGAAATACAAAGTGGCACATATTTCTATGTATTCCTCATGCTCTTAGCTTCATATTTTTAATTAGAAATAGAAGACTTGAAGCAGCTTATAAAGTTTCTCATGTCACATATGAAGTTAAAGATGGCAGGAGACAATGGGGCTGATACAAAATACAGCTAGTTCAACTGCACTTATCACGTGAAGGATTGTTCTTCCTGTTCTGCTTGCAGCGTCAAAGATCTCTGGCCAGGTTATCTTCACCCAGGTGAGTCAGTTTTGTTATTGTTTGTCAAAGGCTGATTCTCATACATACAGGCCAAACCTTCAATCAGCTGGTTGGGGGATAATACTGATGTGAAGAAAATTATCGGGATAACTCATATGTTCACTTAGCCACTGTACTGGTGTTTCCAACATTGGTTCTATACCATGAATGACCACTTGAGTCTTCTTTTCACCATCTAATTCCAAGAGAAAGAGAGACAGGTTCAAACATTCACAGGTTAAAAGGAGCTTGAAGCAAAAGGCATTTAGTTTCATTGCAGGATGAAATTCTGCCAGAATCTTTGCTTTGCAGTGCTGATTATTATCTTACTACTGCATATTTTAATTAAATGAAGAACTGGAAATCCTGTCATAAAGAAGTTAAAGCTAAAAGTTTTGAATTCAAACAAACTTTTAAAACAGTTATTGCCAAGTTTTGCTCAACGAAACTTAAAACAAGGGATACAGTTGGCTGTCATTTTGTTTATGAAATAATTTTGAAATAAACAATTTTAATAAGGCTGTAGGATTTATATTTGTTTGCTATACCATAGTTAAATATCTAAGTGCCTAAAACCAGACATTTGAAGATTAAATGAAAAGACATTTAACTGGATTTGAGTGAAGCTGCAAATGAATGTGCTTTGGATGAAATGAAAAATAAGCAAGCAGTAATTCATAAGAAAGGGGAGAAGCAGAGATTCTTAGCAGATACAGTGGGCTGGACCCACTGTTTGATGCTAGAGACACATAAATTAATGCAAATTAGGTTAGTCATTATTAACTTAAGCCCTACTAATTTCAATGCATCTGTTTTAATTATGACTAAGTCTATATCCAGTTCAGTATATTGATCAGATCAGTGTGATATGGAGAAACCTTGAAAATGGTCCAGATACTTCAAATGGTGCACAATAGAGCTGCCAGGTTGCTGTCAGGGACCAGTTGTAATTCTCATATAACTCCGGTCCTCCATCAGCTTCACTGGCTTCCCACTGAAGTTCGGGGTCAATTTAAGGTACTGATTATGACCTATAAAGCCCTAAATGGCTTGGAAACAGGATACCTAAAGGAATGTCTTTTTCCCTACATGCCCTCCCGCCCCTTAAGATCTGCAGCAGAGGCCCTGCTCCAGGAACCCTCCTTGAAGGAGATTAGGAGACAGAATAGGCTTTCTCTACAGTGGTGCCTCGGCTATGGAATGAACTCCCTAGAGAGGTCTGCCTGGCACCGTCATTATATGCTTTTCGGCATCAGGTCAAGACCTTTTTATTCACCCAGTATTTTAATGTTTAAAAGATTTTAATTATTTTTAATTTCAGTTGTGTGTTATTAGTTTTATCTTTGTTGCAGTATTCATGATCTTTTATATTGTTGCATTTATTGAACCTGTTTTGTAAGCCATCAAGAGACGCACAGTGATTGGACGGGTTAGAAATATCCCAAACAAACAAACAAACAAACGATATACTGAACAATTCTATATTTCTTATTTCTAAAGAACTTAGCAGCAATTAGTGCTGAATATTTCCAAAATTATGCCAGACAGGAGAAAAGTAGTTGTGCATAAGGTGCAAAGTGTGTGCACACGTGCGTGCATGCATATGTAGAAATTGAAACAGGTTGAAGCAGGGCAGGGACTTTAAAAGAAAAAAAAAAAAAAAAACAGACATAAGAATCTCAGTGCTAGCTCCAAACTGTTATTGGCTACATTTGCACATCACACTAAGCTACCCTGCCAGATCATTGGGCTCAACGTGGCTTGCTCTCCCACTTTGTCTGCCAGCGGGTATCCCAGTATTCTTTGCAGCAGGACCCATCTTGCCTTGCCCTTCCTGCTCCAAACTGTTCTATACCATAAAAATTGACAGGGTTTCATTAGATAAAAAGGTTATTTGAACAGTTATTTTCCAAGTGTCCACAGCACATAAGGTTTAACAGTACCTGAAAGGTAAATCAAAGGGCTGGTTTGCACATCAGGATAAACCACCCTGAAAATAAGCTGCAGTAGTCTGGTTGTTCACTCACTAGCCGACATCACTACCTCTCAAAGTTGGGCACTCTGCAGACTGGTTCCTTCTTAGTCTTCCTGCTCACTCCCTGCATATATCCCATGGGCCTTTGCAGCACAACCCTCCCATATCATAATTCCTATGGAGGTGAACTTTTCTGGTTTCCCACTCTGATCATTACTCCATTTTCAGCCTTAAAAAACTGCTCCAGAAGTACTCAAGTGAGTTAATTTACTATTGTTCAAAAGTGCACAAATGCACACATTCACTTGTCCACTATTTACTCTCTTCATCAATACAGGTCAATATCCTTTTTCTTCATGATTAAAGTCCTCTTGTCAATTTCATTCATTCACTGTAATAACTTGAACCAGCACATAGTCTCCCAAAACCATTTCAGTTCTTCCCTTGACTCCAAAATCTGAAAGCCGTGCTTGAAAGCAGTGTTTTCTAATTTAATTTATTCATAAGTATACACTTACAAACAAAACAAAAACCCCAACATTGTATTAGTACACTCCTATTTCCATGGTTAAATATATCCACTTGCCCCAGTAGATCCATCCTGTTCAACCACCACTTTTGAAGTTCAGGCTCAAGAGAAGCAAAATGGGGAAAGAAAACTGGAGAATGAAATCGGCAAGTAAGAGTTTATCCCCATCCCTGACTGCAACATGGTTTTGGAGCAATTACTTCACTTGCAAGCTTTGAGGGAGGTGTTGCTTCCCTGATGTGCAAATGGGTTTGCAATTTGTTAACCTTCCACCCATCCCTGGTCCTTTGCACATGTGCAGGGAAAACAGTTGTTTTATCAATTTCCTTGTGGCAAGGGAAGTGCTGAAGTAATTTACAAGGTCCAGGCAACTGTTCTGCAGACTGTGCACTTGTGAATTACCAGGAAAAAAAAAGAACTTATGAAGCCATTTGTATATTTCCAAAGCACCAAAAATTAAAATGAATATGCTATGAAAAAGTTACAAATATACCCAAATGCCATCTCAGGAATGGTGGAAGATGACTATCATTAATAAGGGAAGAGAAAGACTGGAGGTCTTCAATACAACTGTTGAAGTAAATGTGTATCTGTACACTTGCAGTTGTTACATAATTTAAGAGACTGAAATCCTTACGGCTTTACATTCCATATTTCTTCCATCTATTACTTCATATTCCTAGTTTTGCTGTTTTCTGTTGACAGTAATTTAACAAGGAGCAACCTTATGAAAACATGGACAGCCCTGTTCCAACCACCTTTTTCTATGCAGATCAGTAAAAATCCAGCTAATTAAATGCAAGCTGTGAAGAGTCACAGGCTGGAGGCTGTGCTACATGCATCATGTTAAAGTATCTGTTCCTCAGTCACAGTGGTAATAGTCAGTGGGGTCAGGTCAAAGAGGGTTAAACTGAGTCAGGATATAGCAAGGCAAAACTAATACATCAAACACTGACTTTAAAAGGACAATTAATCTTCAGCAGAAAATGCTTCCTGGGGACTGAGATCTCAATCTTAAGAGCACACGACATGATGTTGCAGTAAAAAAAAAAAAAAAAAAATACAGATACAAGCTTAGACAGCTTTTATCCCATGATCACAAACAGAAGGAAAACACAGTTTATAAGAAAAATAGAAAGCCTAATATTTAAAACATTTTCCAGACTTGTACCCTTTGTAAGATAAATGAATAAAGCCATAGCACCTGATGTACACTGCAATCATATTTATCGATGCTTAAATATTTAATTTTTCCCCAGTAAAAATTATAAATTGTGAGTATGAGGCAGATGGGAATTTCTGATTGAAACAGTGGCAATATGAAAAAGGCAGTTTGCTGTCACTGAGTACTTTCAAATGGAAGGCCTTTCACAAGAGGGCAGAAACCCCAAGAAAAAAGTGTCTTTTCCAACTCCTAATCATTTCAGCCTGTGGCAGGGCTACCTGCTTATCAACCAGTTAGCATTTTGCAATTCTCCTTGTTCCATTCCTATGTAACAAAATCAAGCTCCAGCATTCTTACCAATCATGGAGCTGGAAAGGAGAGAAAGTCCCTGGGAATGCACTGTGTTTAGATGGGCCCCAAGCACTAGAGAAACGCAGTTCAATGACAGAGATGATCTCTGGGATTTTTCCTTGGTTGGGAGGAGGGCTAGGTTTTGGTGTTGGACTCCCAAGATTCTCCAGGGACCAAAAGCCCAGCATAAGTGAGGGGCCAAACTCTTTTCCACTCTCCAGGTCCAACCTCAAAGGATTACTGGGGTCATAGGTTGCATAAATGATTCTTTATTCTTCTTTCCAGCTCTAAACTGGGGAATGAGGGTAAGAGCAGATTATTGTGCTTGTCAGTTAAAATTTGTCAACCCTGCTCCAAGAACATCACAGTGTTATTTAACTATCCAGTTATAGGCCAAAGACTATCCAAGCAAAATCATACATATACCAGCAGATGCAATTGGAAAGTAAGTCAAAGACTGCCACATGTCAAAATGTCTTTTCTATTATACTTAATTATATTCTGTATAATAAATAACTAAATAGTAATTTCTTATTCATAGATACAACTAAGTACCTATGAAGCCATCACTGCAGCAATCTGGTGTGGCAAAGATTCCTAGCTATACTTGGGGAAGAAGCAATTATCTCTGCTTTCCAGTTCCTGCTCATTCTGACTGAAGCACTACCAATGGAAATCGATAGCAGCTCCTTCTGTCACATCTACAGACTCCATATAAGCACTGCTGCTTTCAAGTAAGGTCCTAAAATCTGTAGTAACTAAAAAGTTTCCCAAAAATGTAAGAAGATATTAGTTGCCAGTTTGGGAGATTTAACACCCCACATGATTTAGCATATACTGTGATCAGAGTATAAATAAATCTTCCATCCTTCATAAATAAGCTTAAAATTATGTTCAGTTGTAGTACAACCAAAAATGCTCAGTCTCTTAAAAACTATGCCTCTAGCACAAATTAAACTTGTTTTTCCACGTACAAGAACTTATCAGGTATAAATGAGGGGGGCAGTGGTAAATATGACTTTAATAATAGGTTATGAAGTATCTAAATATTAATATACAAACTTGTTCTTCAAGTGCCTATCTGTATGTAGCCAAAACAGCACTCTACATGCACTAGGCCTGTGAAACCCATAAGTTTTGCAGAAGTTCACTTTTTAAAGGAAAACTTTTAAGGGAAATTTCCAACAGTCCAATCATAACAGAGCATGCTATACTGGCAAGAAATGATAACTGTTGAAGAAAACCTGGAAAATGGAAAAGAGGGAAGAATGGCATGCAGTATTATGGCAAATTACATGGCTGGATGTATCCCTGAACAGAAGATTATTTGTATTTAGTATTAGACAAATTATTAATGTACATTGTCAGCTGAACATTCTGAACCTTTTATGTTACATAAAATGTTGGTTCTGCATAATAATGATCAACAATTGCTTCTTCTATGGGAACACCACCTTCAAGAAACTGGTCTAATGTATAAAACCCTTGGGGGGGTGGATTGGAAAGATTGAGGGGAAGTAGTTTGTCCCTCAAAATTGGAAAAACTGGACCATTTTCTTTCAAAATTAATAAAACAAACAAAAAAGCAAGATGTTCCTGTATATAGTTAGCATCTAACTCCCCAATTTCCAAAAATTATACAATAGGAAAACTTTTAGAGGAAGACTAGCATATCCAATGGCTAGAGGTACTAGGAGCTGTAGTCAAGGGCAGTATCTGACAGTGTCATTCCACAAACTGGAATAGCACTAGTGGGACTCTACTGACTCAACTGCACAGGCAGTCGCCCACTACATTTCTGCTACCAGCTGCACAAGCAGTTGCACAGTGGGTTCCAGAGCAGTTATGCACTATACACTCAACAATGGGTTGCACAAGCAAAATGAAACTGTGCTTGCACACACATAACTCTAGTTGGAGTCCTCCCTTACACACAGACTGGAAGCTAGTTTTCACTAGTGAAACATCATTTACAGTGACAGAATGTCAGCAGGATACTGCTCCAAAACATCTGGAGTGCATCATGTTGCCTACCCATGATCTAGTGTATCTTTTACTGACAGATATTTGGAGATGCTCCAAGTCATACTAAGTTTAGCAACATACGACTCAAATTACTTTATCATTTGCCAAGTAAAAGCACATTCTCGACACTTTGTGTGTTCTGTATTGTGTTTCTGGGCCTGCTCTGATTAGATGCTATAGCAGTCAACAAATGCAGTTCTGAAACCCAGATGAGAAAAACTGTGCATGTTAACCTTCTACCTCATGTGACAGATAGGGGTGGCCAGACTTGCTCAACAGAAGGGCCACATATGGTCAACGTCAGATGTTTGAGAGCCGCAAGTGGGTGCCCAAGGGCAGTGGCAGCAGACGGAGAGCAGCAAGTGGATGCCCATGGGTGTCTGCAGTGGCGAGCCACAAAATAAACTCAAAGAGCCTCATGTGGCTTCCAAGCCTCAGTTTGGCCATCCCTGTGATAGAACAAGTTTGGGTCTATGAAACACAGTGCTGCAGTTTTTAATAAAATTCCCCAATTAGATCTTCCTGTTGAAAATGCTGTCTAAGCTATACAATCTTTAACACCTGCCACCAATTGTACTTTGTATATGTAAAGGAACCAGTGCAGTGGTAAGGACTGGATGGGGAGATCAAGGTTCTAGGCCCCACCATGGCAATGAAGCTTACTCAGTTACTTTGGGCCATTCACTAACTCTTAACCTAATTCACCTTATAGTGTTGATCTGAGGATAAAATGGAGATGATTATGTAAGTCATGCCGAGTTCCTGGAAGGCAAAATATGTAGAATAAAAATGTAATATGTAAATACATCTGGCTTGGCTTAAGAATGTTTGCCTGTACCTTGCAGTAAGTACAGAAAAGTGGGTGGTAAAAAGAGGGCAACACATTACCATAAAAAGCAAATACAGGGGCAGAGATATGAAAAGGCAAGGGTTATGGTGAATGAAGGAGTACTGTGGCTGATTGAGCCACTCTGTCTTTTGTTGTGAAGCTCACCGACGTAGTGATTGGTTGAACAGAAAAATAAAAAATGGGGGAAAATGACAGCTGATCATCAAGTACTACTCAGTAGTGCTTCTCACTCTACTGCACCATCAAATAGTAGTTCACACTATATGGCACCCTATGGACAGCTACTGCTGATTGAAGAAATGGCTGCCACCTGAACAACAGACCCAGAGACAGATACCATTGCCAAGGTCTGCCACTGACCAGTTCAGTGACTGCTGAACATGCCATCACTGGTAGCGGGCAAATGCAACAAAGTACAAATATTTTTGAGAAGAAAATAGATTTCCTATTGCACCTTTCTTCTTTTCCTCCTAGCAGCAGACATGTTCCACCTTAAGCAAGTAGGTTAAATCCCACTTCATCATGTTAGTAGTCATTAACAATGTTCTCCTATTGGTCTGTTTTTCAAATCCAGTTTTACTGCCAGTCTTCAGCATAACCCACTACAATGGATCAGCTGTAAAAGTGTCACTGAATATCTTTTATATCTGATTTTAATCACATGTACTCTCATTATTTCACCCTGAGGAAGCATCAGTCACTCTATTCTCTTTCCCTTATCACTAAGTAGTACTGCTTCTTTATCTGTAGGGGTAAATATCATTGCCCAGAGTTACTGGGGCAAGGGATGGGGAAACTGTGATTATCCAGATGTTCTGGCCTCCCACTCCCATTAGCCCCAGTCAGCCAACAGTCACAGGTTCAGCAGTCCCTTCAGATATTTGTACTTTATGCAAAATTCACTCAATTCTGTTAAGACCTCCCATGCTTAGTGGCATGCATTGTGCAATTAACTGAGAAACATCCTCCCTCTGTATCTATTATATATTACTTTCTCTTATATATACACAAAATACATGGTTTCAGTATCTATATTCTCTAGAATATTAATTTTAACATGATTATCCTATTATGTTGCTTAGGATAAAAATGACAAATGCTCCCTACTCAATACTTATCCTATTTTTGTTTTTATTTAAAATAACAGATTGTCAAAAATATCTTCCCTAAACACTACAAGCAAGAAAGCATGTATTTTATAATGTTTTCAAGCTCATACCTTCAGGATTAATTGCAGAAGGACAAATTTCCTTCAGGAGATCACCCAGTGTATGCAGCTGTCCATCTGCAGCAACAGGACGAAACAACTTCTGTATAAAAGGTCGTTCACTTGTTACCTGGCAGTAATAGATAACATTAGTAAAAAAAGATAGCTGGAATAAGCATAATATCACACAACAACCTAATGAATAGAACAAACCCAAACTTCTACAGAAAAAGGTGGCAGGTTACAAGAGACCACAAAGCTCAGTTTCTTTGGGTTACGCTAGTAATTTTTTAATTATACCATTAGACACAAAAGCTTAGAGATAACAGGGAGTGGGCATCTTAAAGCAATGGTGTTCCAAGAAGTAGAAAAGAAAGATAATTAGAGGAGGGAAAGAGAAAACATTAAGGAATCATCCAGGTGAACTGATTATTTTTAAAATTTTATATATGGCACTGCCAGCAAAAATCTCAGAATGGTATACCTAAATATAACTATAAACATGGGCATTAAAGTCATGAAACCAATGAATAAAAATCACTCTAAAATAGATTTAGATTATAAATTTAAATCCATTTAAAAAGACCCCTCAAAGTTCCTGGGCAAACAGAAACACTTTACTTTGGCACTGAAATGGTGTTTTGGGAAGGCATTCCATAGTGAGGGCACCACCAGAGAGAAGACCTCTTCTAATGATCTCAATGAATGCACAAGAGGGCATGGGAAAAGCACATTCCTTTGGATAATTGTTTAGCTATATATATTTCAGATACCTGACCCCAAGCAATTTAGGGCTTTAATCACCTGACCTCAGTGGCCTCATCTATATGTTAAAAAGCATGATAGACAAGATGGAATCTTGTGGGATCCACAGCTGAAATGCCATAGGGTCAAGCAGAAGTCCCCCAATACTACTGAAAATACAGGTGGCCCTAATCCACAGAGCAAATTTGGCAAGGCATCCTACTGAATAGCCTCAAAGCTATTCCCCCTATATCTCCCAACAGAGGTCAGCAATGAGGCAAACAAAGCTGCTGCAGTGCCAAATCATAATCTAAGCCAATACGGAAATGGTTCTAGGCAACCTATTTCATCAAACAGCACATGGAATTTACACTGTCATCACCCTTTTGAGAGCTATGTCCAAGGAGCAGGTGCTTGTGACCAGGTGATGGTTGTTACAACCTTCTAGGCAGAGCAAGGTTTTAAGGAATGGCATCACAACTGCCTGCTTCAAGGTTGCCTAGAGACCCAATCTCTGAGATTAGGTGGAATATAAATAAATATTTTTATAATATACTAATAAGGTGGCTGGAAGTACTCCTGTGTACCTCCTGGATCTACCTAGTTAGTACAGTTTAGCTTGGTACAAAAAACCATGATAAATAAGGGTTCAGAGACAGCATAGTTGGTTGGCACATTTTTAAGTTCCAAATCTACATTCTCAAAGCTCAATAACTGAGACAGATACCCAAACAGACTCAATAGCACAATGTGACCTAGAGGTAACTGTCCTTTCACCATATGAGAAAGCTCTGCTGGACAGCTACTTCTGATGCAATGGAGGTGAAGAAGAAGAAGAAGAGGTTCATTATCTCACATGGTTGCCACAAAGTTCTGGCCCATTAATGTGGTCCCAGTGTGAATACTGGATTTTTTTTCCCAATATCACAACAGCAAGCTCAAAAAACCAACTGATGGGTAGAAGAGATGTCCAGTATTCCATTAGAATTACCTGTTTCTGGTTCAATACCAGGTATTCAATACTCAAAGCAGCATATGTGCTGACTGGTCCCCTTGTCAGTTAAGAGTCTAACTTATGCATGTAAGATTGTATAGACACATATTGCTTGTATGAAGGGAGAAAGCTTTACTTGTTTTGAAGCATGCCAACAAAAAAGCCTTCACCTACTTTAAAAGATTGTCAGAGAGCCAGAGTTCAAACTGTAAAGCTGTAGTAGCTAAACAGAGCAGAGTTATCTCATAATATATATAATTAAAGAATAGTTTTTTCCATAGAAAATCCATAGGATTCTTGACTAAATATTACTAAGTCTTGTGTATAAGGACACTGACATACACATTGCTTAAAATCCAGTTAGCCAAACAGTTTATACAGGATGTAATCATAACTTTAAAAACATAACCCACAAATTACAATTCTTAAGAATGAAAGCCAACAGACTTACTACGCTTTACATCCACATAAAAGAATGGGTTTCCTAATTGTAGTTAAACCACTGCAAATTACCTTACATGTTGAACCCACACTATAACCAACTTATGATTTCCACATGTCAAAATTTTACTAGTTTAAAAGCTGCAACTCCTCTTGCATTACTTCCTTATGTATATCGGTACACTAAAAGTCATTCTATACAGCTTGAGCAATTGGCTTTTGTATAAAAATGACAGCAACAACTTTCTAAAATTGCCTTACAGTTGGCTTAAAGTTGATCCAAACCCTTGGAAGCGGCAAACTCTTAGAAAAGCTGTAGATTTTTCATAGTCAAGCCTGCTGTCTCTCAAACTAATGGACCACTTATTTTAAGTTTATTTTTTAACCACTATCAGTCTCCAAGGAGTTTTTAAAATTAGAAATTTTACATTTTAATTTCATTTCTGTCACCTTAATGAAATAAAGTGAATCACTGCTTGACATGGCAGAATTCTGGCAGACAGCAAACAAATATGTCCACCAAGCTTTGGAAAGTGGCTGCTTTTCTCACACAAACACATACACTGGCCCTGTCATCAGCTATTAACCCACTATAACAATGAGGAGGATAGGCTCTTTATATTCAGTTCCATTGGCTGCAGCTGAGCAAGGAAGGTTTACAGCCCAGACTACACCTTTCTATCCCAAACAAGCTGCCACTATCACTTCATAGAAACACAGAAACAGAGTGAGTCAGAAGAGGCCTCCTGGGCCATCTTGTCTGACCCCTGACTCCAGCCCAGCGGGCTCCACTCACAACACGCCCACCATGCGCATATCCAGCCTATCTTTGAACACCCTCACCGATGGGGATGGTGGGGATGGGGCCTCAACGACCTCTCGTGGAAGCCCATTCCACACCCTCTGGGTCCTTCAGTGATGTGTGCAACTTCAATGATGTGTGCATTATGGTGGCAGGTGAAGACTACAAAAGTCAAGGAAGATGAAATGAAGTAATGACATCCCACCTGGATTGTCAGCTAATGTTTACTTATCCCACTCATTATACAAAATGGTGAAACTGCTGGATAAAAGGCTAGTATAATTTTAAGGTATTACTCAGACATTTTGTCATCAGTTACTACTGGTGGACTGGCCATTCATTTAAATTTTAAAAGTGATGTTGTTAAGTTTCAGCAAAATTAAATACTGCTGAATGTAATCTACTAGGATGTAAAACAACGGATCTAGCTAAACTCCCCCAAAATTACTACTGCAGTCTAAACTACAAGACAGAATCGCTTAAAGTGTGATTTAGTATTTCGACAAACCCTAAGATGTGCTGGGTATACCCCCTCACACACGCAAAACAAAAAAAGAAAAAAAAACTTCAAGTAGAGAGGATTTACTTACACATGTATTCATGTCAAGCTAAATTCTTAAAACAAATATATATAGGAAGCATACTGTTAAGAAGCTAATCTCCTAATCCCTTTTCTACTATCATCTGCCCAAGTGTTCATTCTCCTGCAGAAGTACTGAGAAAATACATAGAGGTTGACTAGGAGAGATAAATACCTCTTTTCTTCACAAATTTATTTATGACAGAATATTCAGTTTAACTATATGCATGCACATTTTTAGTGCATGAGATACAGGAATTTTCAGTTATATCTGAATCACAACACTGCAAATAACCGGATGTTATCCAACTTCATATAATTTATAAAAACTAAAACTGTATACAACTTTACTGTATACATTTCAGTGTTGTGTATATTATATATACTTGTTCTTTAAAGTCAGCTCTATAGAACTCTGAAGCACTTTTTGTTGAAAGCTAATAATTATACAGTCTTTAGGAATCTGAAACAAATACATATAAAGTACACCCATAGCGGAAACCTTTAGTTGTCATGGTCTGTTATTTAGTAAAATGTTATCATTATGTCTATAACAGTATCAAAGTAATGTCAGTAATACTTAACCTAAATAATACGAATGTCTCAGAGACTGTGGTTGAATTAGGGGCAGCCATTAGAATTACACACACATCTGGAATGAAGTTAGATTTATTTATTTTTATTTAGTAAGGTTTATTACAATTTTGTCTAGACAATAATGCTGAAAAGATTTTGGTCACAAATAGTTTAAGGACAATTTTCCTAATCATATGTGGGCAACAACCCATGTCTTCCTCACATCCTTTCATTTGGCAGGATATGTTGTAAGGAATAAATGTGACTTTCCTGATCTCCTACGTGATTAAGAGCAGCATTATTTAAAGAACTATGGATAAATTATGTCAACTGTTTAGACTGACTCTCCCACACAGGCTGCTCATGAATCTCTTCCCCATGTCCTTCAAGATGCCACCCAAAAAACTAATTTTATTTGTACTGTATTCAAGTCTTTTGTATCTTTTCCATAACTTTACCACATATTACAATGATAGCAGTGTTTTCTATCAATTACAATTGCCTTGGCAAAGTATAGCAAAAGAAATGCAAATAGATGTATGAGCACAGTACCAATTCTTGTGCTCTCTTGCAAGGAGTATTAATTAGCACAGGAGAATTTTGCTGGTATATCTGCATATACATTAGGCATCTATACTCATTAGTTTTTATTATTGATACTGGCATATGATACCAGAGTAAACAAAGATCTCATTTATAGCAGAGGTCGAAAAACAGAGAGTAAGCATATTAATATGGAGCCCTGTGATATCTGTAGATGGCAAGCCATTCTTCAGATGAGGAATGGTGAAAACTATGGCTTGAATCCTACTATAATTTAACTTTAGGAAATGTAAAGAAGGGGAACAAGTAAGACATTCCTAAACAACAATATAGAATACAGGAGAGAAAAAGGGAATCTTTTCTTTTGTGAATTTTGAGTTAATGTCTTAGAATTCAAACTTATACCATTAATATCCAGAACTGATGCACACAATTTGCACATTTACCAAAAATGTTTTCTAACAAGCTTGCAGTTCAGTAAGGTATATCACACCTAACCATGATTTGGCTTCCAAATTTGCAAAAGGCAAATCATGATTTAGATAGGTTTGCTTTCATTGTCCACCTTCTTAGCTCTCAACTTCTTAAGTTCATAATCATTCCTTTCTCCATTGTGCAGTAGCCTCTAGAGGATGAACCAAGGTCATATTTAGGGTTCAGCAATCAGACCCAAGCAAATCAGAGTTCAGCTTCTTTAATTCAGTTTAAAGAAATGTTTGAGTCAAGCCAGCAACAGTCCACACAATACCCTAAGAGTGTGGGTTTAAAAAAAAATTCCTGAACTTTATAAGGGCAGATTAGAGGGAAACATTATTTTCCAAGTTTCTTTTTCAATAACTTTTGCAGAAGAACTATACAATTTGGACAACAAACCATTGGACCACCTACTGAGGAAGAAACTCTTAGGAAAACTGAAATGGACATGGACATGATTAGTACCTCTAAGAAATTTAGCTACAACTAGTACTTCTATTTAGCCACTGTTTTACAAATTGTTTCCACTCATTTAAAAAATGGGGACTGTGTATTATACACTTACAAAGAATGACTTTGTAAGGAGGTGTGTAGTATAAGACAAGGAAGGTGAAAAGCAGCATTAAAATGGGAGATACAGAGAAAGGGTTGTTAAAAAATATGCCCAAGACCAGCATTAAATATTAGAAGTTATTATTTGGTCCAAGATTTCCTTAGCTCAAACTGGCAGTTGTACTAGTGAAGAACTTAGAAATTTTTATATCAACAATAAACAACAAAATAAGAACTCCAGCTCTATGAAGATTGTACAAAAATCTCCTAAGAGCAACAAAAAGGAAATAAACCAAACTGTTCTACTAGAGAAAACTGAAATTAAACCTCATGGTTATTAGCCGTAATTAAAAATTTGTGGAAGCTAATTGGTAGTAATTCAATGAAACTTACATTCATTTCAAAAGTGAGAGTAAATTGGAAGGGGAGGGGAGGTCAACATTAAATTGCAATTAGATTTATCCTGAATAAGAACTTAGTAGTAGGAGGTGGCAACCAAACAGCTGATGGAGAAGGCTAAATAGTTACTTTACATCTGTCTGTCCCTGCCAGTTCAGCCATGAGAAATCTCTCAAGCTTGAACTTACTGGTACTAGGGTGATACTGTAGGGACTGGGTATACTTCTCCCAAAATTCAAGGGGTGGGTACCTCAGATTCTTAATCTAGACAGGAAGAAGAGCAGGGGTCAGAATTCTTAGCTGAAATACCAAGGCCAGTGAGCTCTGAGATAAGCCAAGTGGCTTGTGAGAACTAGACTTCCTCTGCTTTGTGGGAGACACTGTGGAACATGGGAAGTCAGGGTGGAAAGACCTTTAACCTGTCCTATTCTTTGAAGCCAGATCAAGAGAGCTAGCCATTTAAGTAATGTGCAGTATTCCTGTTTTCTGACCCACAAGGAGCAGGAAAACTCACTGAGGGAAGAGCTAACTATTTGGTAGGACAGGGAGGAAGGATATTTAGTTGGGAATCAGCTTCTAGCATGAGCAGTACTCAGTCCCTAAATAGCTTGCTCAGTAACTTGATAGACCTATTTTGCTAATGACCTTAAGATTACATTCTTTGTATTACAAAGCCAGTCCTGGCTGGTGCACTTTAACATAATAAAAATATATAGTTAGAGAGTTCTCATTTAGATCTGCTGGAAAGGGAAAAGAACAAAGGTTTGCAGGGGAAACCTCACAGTGAGGGCAGCACTATCTTCTCCATACTGATCTTAGTAAAAGTATGGATTCAATGTCCTTCAATCAAGTTGTGGCCTGTATAATACTGTTTACTAGTACCTGCTTTTTTCCTTCCATGGAAAGAGGTTTCAAGGCTCATAGGAATATATCAAGGAGTAGTAGTATTTTCTCAGTTTTATATGGTTTGGAAGGTCAGCAAGACTAAGTAAAATTTAATATCAGCTCCTACCTGATATATTCTAAATGGGATATAGCGAAATCCACTATCTTCTGGAGGGTATTCCATGAGTTTCTTGTTTATGGCCCAAAACTGGTCAAATTTGTCTGGAAAAAATGAAAACAAGTATACTGCATTCAGTACTTTTTAAAGGAAGATTTTTATTTTTATTATGACTTTATTGTATACAGCATTTCTATACAGAAGTCTGTAAGAAAGTTTCCAAATTTTAATTGTATGTGGCTTTGAGAACCTGATCCAAATAGAAGAGTAAAAAATAAAATGGAAGTATCCAAATGTAGAACACTGATCTTTATTTAAGTCATCTTATCCTCTGTGTAATACAAATACCCCATTCACACTGAGGTATGAAAACACTGCACCAATTCTCACAGGTAAGCCATGGTAGCTTAAGTCACAGGGAGTACAATGGCAATTTTGATTATTTCAAGGCATGGCTTGTTATGTCCTCCAAATGCAGAAAATGGCTTGTTGGAGGGGAATCTTATGAACTGTTAGAAGGTTATTTCCATCTCAAACAAGCCATGCTGCCTGGATTTAGAAAACATGTCAAACTATGCTTGAGAGCAGCAATTACTCAAATCCTGAGTCACACACACCACAATTTAAATAAGACAATATTTATTTTGATGTCAGTTATACAGTGAGCTAATTTGTATGACAAGACCACCTATGCTAAAACAAGCCATACCGGCTTTATTCTTCTTATTGTTCTTTATTAAATTATTTTATGCCGCCCCCATCACAGAAAGCCTCGGGACGGCTTACAAAGAAGATAAACAACATAAGATAGAATAACATTAAAAAATTTGGAGCATCTCGGCAATAGTTTAAAACCAATAAATAAAAACAATTAACAATTAAAGTATTGTTTAAATAAAAAGGTCTTGGCCTGGCGCAGAAAAACAAATAATGACGGCACCAGGCGGACCTCTCTGGGGAGCGCATTCCATAGGTGGGGTGCCACCTTTGAGAAGGTCCTCCTCCGGGTACTCACCCTCCTACTATCCTTCACAGAAGGCTCCCGGAGAAGGGCCTCCTCCGCCGATCTCAGGGGGGCGGGAGGGCATATATGGACACAAGCGCTCCTTTAAATAACCAGGTCACAAGCCTTTGAGGGCTTTATAGGTGATAACCAACACCTTGAATTGGGCCTGGACTTCAACGGGGAGCCAGTGAAGCTGATGGAGAACTGGGGTTATATGAGAACAACGCCCAGTCCCCGTCAGCAACCTGGCAGCTCTATTTTGCACCAACTGAAGTATCCGGACCGTCTTCAAGGGCAGCCCATATAGAGCACGTTACAGAAGTCTAATCGGGAAGTTACCAATGCATGTGTCACAGCTGCCAGGCAGTCGTTCTCCAGGTAGGGACGCAGCTGAAGGAAGGCGCTCCTCGCCACCGCTGTTACTTGAGCTTCTAACGACAGCTCTGGGTCGAGGAGCACTCCCAAGCTGCGAACCCTGTCCCTAAGAGGGAGTGCAACCCCGTTCAGGACAAGGTCCAGGTCCCCCATCCTGAAATCCGACCCACCTACCAACAGGACCTCAGTCTTGTCTGGACTGAGCCTCAGTTTATTGGCCCTCATCCAGCCTATTACCTCGGCCAGGCACTGGTTCAGAACAGCCACCACCTCACCTGGATTAGTTGAGAACGAGAGGTAGAGCTGGGTATCATCAGCGTACTGATGATTCCGCAGCCCACACCTCCTAATGACCTCTCCCAGCGGTTTCATGTAGATGTTGAATAACAAGGGGGACAAAATGGACCCCTGCGGAACTCCATGGCATAGCTGCCATGGCGCAGAGCCATAGTCCCCCAGCACCACCTTCTGGAATCGGCCATTGAGATAGGAGCAGAACCACTGCAAAGCAGTGCCTCCAACTCCCAATCCCGCAAGCCTATCCAGAAGGATACCATGGTTGATGGTATCGAAAGCCGCTGAGAGGTCCAGGAGAACCAACAGGGACACACTCCCCATCTCTCTCCCTACACAGGTCATCATACAGGGTGACCAAGGCAGATTCAGTACCGTACCCGGGCCTTGTTGCTGCAGGTTGCTGTGTGAACTTAGCACAATGGCTTACTGAACAACCCATGATGAAAACCCATGGGTTGTTGGCTCTGGGCTGCTGAAGCCATGGGCTGTCATGACATGTGAACCTAGAACAATGGTTCTGTCCCATAGTTCAGTCCCACTGCCTTTCCACCACGAGACAGACAGAGAGCGAATACCTATTATAATGGTGCCTCATAGTTCAAACAACTCTAACTTGGAGTAATCCAGAGTTTGAACGTTAGAGTCAAGATAAGATCACTCTGCAGTTCAAACAATGCTTCTATGTTCAAACTGTAAGCAAAGTAAAAAAAAAAAAAAAAAGTGGGGGCAGCAAAAACATCAACGGTTGTGCACCCAAGTCATCTGTTGTTGTGTCTGTGCCATTTCTCTGTCTGCTTTCTCGATTTCACTGTCTGCTTTCTCACTGCCTCCTCAATCATTCCTAAGTGCCTTTTAACTGCCTGCCTTTCCCAATCATTCTCACTGCCTTTTTGATCCTTTTCTGCTTCACCACTCCTGACTAAAAAATTTGGACAGTAAATGCAATGTTTATTTTACTATACAGTACTGGACATATTTACATATTTTATTAATTGTTTTAAAGTTTTAACTGATAAATTTGGCATTTAATTGTGTTATTTTAACCTTAAATTATGTGTATATACTGTTTAAGTTTATCAAGATGGGTCAGGGTCTGGGAACAGATTAATTCACTCTCCATTATTTCTAATGGGGAAGATTGCTTCAGATTTCAAATGATTCAGAGTTCAAACAGCCTCCTGAAACAAATTAAATTTGAAGTATGAGGCACCACTGTGCTTTGCTTATAGCAAAAAAAAGGTAACACCTGAGGGATGCACCAGAACACACAGTATTTATACTCAATAGCATGATATTCAGGACCCAATCACTGCAGCCTTGTAAGCATGGGCATATGGGGCTGTGAAGAGCTTGCCTGCCTGAGTCGATTAGCAGGTGATAGTGTACAGCACTCAACACCACTGAAATGCAGTGTTGTAGGGTTCTTGGTAGAGGAAACCTATTTAACCTTACTCCACTTCTTTAGCATCATTCTCCTCCTCCCCACAAAGTTGTAAGAGCACCTGCCAAGGCATTAACCATAGTTCACATTTCAAAGTCCTTGATATGAGAGTTAAACAACTGGAATGTTACACATTGTTGTATGAGTTTCTAAATGTGAAATGTGTAAAGAGAATGTTTGACATGATAGCTGACAAAATCAATCTAAAGGAAAGATACAGTAGTTAGGCTATGCTGGAAAAATAGCATAGAACTATGCCAGGAAAAAAATAAGCACTGAACCTCTGCAAGCTGGCATTCAACCAGGGTTACCTCCCACTCACTACCACTTTTGGAGAAGACAAATCCACAACCTGTGAAATTTTCAGCAAGACAGTGTGAGTCAGAGATGAGGTACCTCTCACAGGTATAATAAAAATGGGAGACAAAAAAAAAAGAAAAAAAAAGAAAAAGAAATTCCATGAAAGAAATTCTGGGGAGAAGGGGTTATAGCTCGCTTAGCTCTCCAAAAAGCCATGTTGCTTAGGTAAAGACAGCATAAGATAATGCAGGTGAGTGGTGGCTACACAATCTGTACGTGGTACACACAGGATTGCAATCATTCACTACCAATTTGGCCACAGAAGCCTGATAAGTAACACTGAGCTGATCCTTGGTGTCAGCTTCTTTTAAAATAGAGACAGAAACAAATATAGTCAGTCCATAGTCCAACATTACCTCAGGATTAAAAAGCTCTTATTGGGTAAAGTTCTACTACCAAGAAAATCATTTAGTTCAAACGGGTCAAAGACTAGAATCAGTATTTGACTTAGGGTGCAATCCTATGCATGTTTAGGCAGAAAAAAGTCCTAGAATGCCTATAATTCACCAGCCAACATAGTTAGCTGGGGAATGCTGCGAGTTTTAGGACTTTTTCTGTCAAAATATGCAAAGAATTGCACACTTAAAGATTCTTGGACTTTCATACCTGTCCCCCTTAGCTAATTTGTCTACTGCCCTGCTGTTCATGAAAATCCTACAGTAGCTCTTACAGTAATGTAGTCAATATAGTGTTTGTTTGAAGATGTGTGTGTTAGTCCATAACATCTGCAAATAGTACATGTTTTAGGAACGCCAGAAGACTATCTATATTTATTTTTTTAAATGACCATAATTTTCCTGGATATTTCTTTATATACAAGTTGAACTGAGCCTGTTCACTATACTTCAAGAAAGTGCCTTCTTGTTAATAGCCTCTGCTGTATTATTAGTCCAGTCAGCTGGAAAGGATGTAAAGAAAACAGGGCACAGCAGAAATTTGTAAGAGGTCAGGTTCAACTCTGAATGACTATGGGAGTTTGTCTTAACAAGGGACATTTCAAGTCTCAACACCCACAAATAAAGACCTCATGGGTTGGAAACCTGTATATTAAAAACTCAATCCTCAAACAGAAAATTCTTTGGATAAAGAATGTAAGATAATATTTGACCTCAAGGTCTGAGGATATCATGGTTCATGTGCTACAAGAAAAATAACTTCACTATTTCCAATTTTTAGAATTGGAGTTAATGCCTCCAAACCAAAAGAATAATGTGAGATGAATTTTTATAGAATGTTTACTTATAGTTTTCCTTGGACAGATTCGTATTTTTAACAGCAACAAAACACAGCATTTGAATAGTAGCATTTGACACTGTATTAGACAGTATGTGCAGAAGCTTCCTGAAAGCAAACTTTTAAGTTAAGCAAAATTGTTATGGGTAGGAAGACAAATGCATGATGTTTCATAGAAAAAGCAACTTGCAGATGTAGCATGAACTATGAGGCAGTTATCACAACTGGTACTTTCTTTTCTTTTTGTGGTCATGAATTTTGTTTCACAGAAGGTTTAAAATCATCCCATATATAATGAAAGCCATAATGAAAGCCATACTGAAAGATACAGCATGTATTTTAAAAAGTTCTCTTGGTTTCATAAGTTTTTCTTATTTCTCTTTTACTAAGGGCTCAAATATAAAATTAGCATTTGAAAGCTTTCAAAACATTATCTGTTGGGTTCCACAGGTGCAGTTTCCAGTCACACACACTGAAACCTATACAACCAACATTTGTGGGCAACCTCTTATCTTGGATTACCACAATGTTCTCCCAAACAAGCCAAAATACACTTCTGCTTCCAACTTAAAGTGAAGTTAATCTTTGATAAACTGATTGAACATAATTAGCAGTGGAACAGAACCTAAAAGATCACCTTTTCAATCTTTATGCCCTTAATTACTTTGAATGGTCTCTGATTAAGCACAACCTTACTTGATTTCATCATCTGCCAAGCTATTATTATGTAGTCCATTTTTTGCCCTGTGACTGTCTGAATGACTTCCTTAAATAAGTAGGATCAAATGAGGGAGGCAAAGTGTTACAGACACAAAAAAAAAATCCTGCAGCTTTTGAACTCTTACACTTCAGATATGCACTACAGGAAATATATTTGCAGGAACTGAATAACGATCCTTCAGACCTTTAGTACTACTGCAATTTCTGCAGCTACTCTAGAAAAGGACTCCCTCTCTTACTCCTTCATCTAACTGCACACGTATGCTTATTGCTGTGATAGAAAGTTTAGTACTTCTTCCTTTACATGTTCCATGAAACAGATTACATATCTAAATGCTTGAACAAAGAGATGAGGTACCAATCTCTAGGTTTATGAACTTGAAAAGGTTCCTTTACATAATATATGACACTAATACTGAATGCACAGTGTAGGAAAATAAAGACTAGTTGTAGAAGAACCAGCAACTGAAGCTAAACTTAAGAGGTCAGAAGTATGAATTGGTGACTCATAATCCATATCTTGCCTATAGAACTTGTCTATCCATACTGCCAACCTCCCCTGCCATGCCCACCCCTATTCTCTCATGACCAATTGACACCAGCCCTGTGCAGCTCTACTGGTCCACCAACATGCTTCTGTGTGTCACTGCTCATCCTCAGGAACCACTTTTTCAATGTTTAGAAGTGCCCTCAATCAGTTCAACAAAATCCAAAAAGCTGGGTTATGCTGGCACATTTTTATAAAGCTACAGGCAGGCAGATAATCATGGAATGCAGTAAATATAGTGTTTTTTGAACACTCTAGTCCACCTATTTCTAACCCTAACTGGAAGAGGGAAATGGCACAATTATCCTCAGATTACAACTAGCAAAGGTGTGTTGAATGAGGGATGAGAGAAATAAGAATGTGTGCCCGGGGGGGGGGGGGGGGAGCAGCGCTATGCACCACCTGTATATGTCTCCTGACCACTTTTCCCAGAGGTAACAAAGACCTCAATTAACAAAAGCTTGCCCACTCCTAGGTACAGGGCATTTGCTGTACCTGGTAATGTTGATATAACCAGTATCACACTCTTCATTTCTAAAAACTCGACTAGCATGTTAGAATCATGAAACATAGGTAAAATTTCCCCTAAAATATAAGGACTCTTCATTACCCAGATTTTTTTTTTTTTTTTTGGGTGGGGGGCGAGACAGAAAGATAAAGTATCACTTTTAAAAAAAAAATCCTTAAACTAAGTGTGCTAAAATGAAGATTGAGTTACTTAACATATCCTACCATTCTGTAATCCCATCCAAAGTTGTTTATGATCCTTTTTTTGCATTTCATTGATTACTTGACTCTTGTGCTTCAAGGCATCTGCTTCTTTTATACAAGCCATGAAATGGGCTTCTATTGCATCCTTAGAAGGGCAGTGTAGAAGATCTTTTTCTGGAAAGTTCTGTTAATACAAATTATAATCAAAAAGAGAAGTTCATACTCAATTTTTACTTTAGAACAACCACCAAGACTAACCATAGGGCATAATTCCTACCAGATTAATAGAAATTGTACATGTACAACAACTTAGTGCTAAGATATGATAGCTCCTATTTCCATTCCAGCTTAAAGAAGCAGGAATTTCCAGATTTTCTGCCTTCCATGCTACATTATCTGTAACAAGATCTAGTATATGGCAACATGATTCTCCTGGTATTTGAGTAAGGCAGCTACAAGGAAAGCTGGCTTTCGAATTAGATCTTCTTTGGTTTGATGCTATCAGAAACTGTCCTCATCTTTCAAAACTTGACAGTGTATTACCAAGAACTTTTAAATAAAAGCAAATATTTTCAGAAAGCCAAATTCTGGACTAGATTCTGCATATGTGGAAAACAATCTTGCATATTGTTACCCTTATACCAACAATGCAGACAATTATTCATGCAACTGTCAGCATGAGGGAAGTTGCTTAAAACACTTCTGAATTGAAACCCTGCTTATTCTCCATTCCAATGCAATGGAAATCATGATGTAAGAAAATGCAGAAAACAGAGGTACTCAAATCTTAACATACAGTTGTATACGTAATACAAAAATATTTGCATGCCCTTCCACTCATTTTCAAGAAATAAACAATGAAATAAATCCAAATACAGACAGAATCCTCATTTGCTAACTATCTTTTCTCCTTTCCTTGTGTTTTCAATTCTTATGAAAAGTGTTTCTAGTTTTTATTTCAGCACTTTTAAAACAAAGATATACCTTAAAATGTACTGTGATGTTCCATGGAAGGGCTGTATTAGATGCATGAAGGTCAAAAAGTAAACCAATAGGATGATGCCTAGGAAGAGGGGAGAATGTTAAAGCAAGGCACTACACTGCAAAAACTGCAACAGTAAGCCCTTCCTATTCAAAATCAGATTAGTACTGCTGCAGTTAGTAATTCTGTACTTGAAACTTTCTTTAAAAAGCAAGACTCCAACGTAACTTTTAAGACTCTATAACTTTACAAAAACTGTCAAAGAAGTCAACTGTGTATAAAAGTCATTTTTCGCCAATCCTTTTGTATTTGTTGCAGAATTGTGTTGAATGGCTATTCCAACATTCTTTAAGAAAAATGACGCTGATCATCTTGGGAATTTTATTATGTTCTAGTATTTATACTCTACCCAGCTGATAACAGTTTCTTGCTAGACATGGCACCATGTTCAAATTTAACATGCACTGTTAACCAGCCCCACCAAGAGTCACTCCATGCACATGGCATATTTCTAGAACTCTAATGAAACCTTGAAGTGGAGTCAGGGCCCTGAAAATTGGGTTCATTTGTACAAACTGTGATCATAGGAGAAAGGTCAACTCATACACATATGCACCACTAACTCATGTGGCCCTTGATTGGTTTATTGGTAGACTCTCCCCTCTGTCATGACTTCCCTAAAGTATTTCATATTAAAGGAAGATCTAGAATCCATAGAGCAATATCCCTAAATTTTGGCTCCCAGGGGAAGATAGCTTCAGATCTGCTTTTGCAAGAGGTGGAGTGCTTGACTCCGAAGACAAAGGGGAAGCATTGTGCCCAAGCAAAGGAGTGCTCACTTGCATTGGAATGCTTCTCAGAAGTAAAGACCTCCTTGTTAGCAAGACCCTTCTCTGCCAGGAGATCCATAGTAACTTGCAGGTGAGTCTAGATGAAACTCACATTTATAAACCTACCTTATGCAACAAGAATTGCCGAAACAATGCCTGTGTTTCAAGCTCTGGACCTTACCCACATAATCCCTTATTGTCTAGATTAGCAGTGCAGAACTTTTTAGCTTCAAAGCTAGATTCCATTTTGGTTAACTTTTCAGGGACCACATTCCAATTGTTAATATGATACTGAGAACACCAGCATATTTTAGTTGAAGATAGAAGGAACTGGGTAAAAAACAAAGGAGGCATGCTCCAAAATTCTATGACCCAAATTTCTAGCATATTTTACCTTAAAGCACTTATTGCCAATAACTAAGTCTTGGTGGAAACATTTCAACCATTTAGAAAAGGGAGGGGTGACTTCAGCAAATCCAGGAAACCACAAAGTATTCTGCAGTTGAGGGAAACTGGCTGGGACCAAGGAGGGAGCAAACATGGGCAAACCTCAAAATCCCAGAGGGTCAAGATTTGTATTCTGAGGTTTTGCAGCCCTGGTTTAGCCCATGACACATCAGAACCCATTGTACTGGACAATCTTGTGGCTCTGTGTTTAGACTTGCTCTTGCCTTGAAAATTAGTTTTCTGATTAAATCCTACTGACTTACAACTCTTTCTTGGGACTGTTTGTGAATTGCTCTCAACTGAATTCTTGCTCTTGTTGGCCTAGACCAGGGGTCCTCAAACTTTTTAAACAGGGGGCCAGTTCACTGTCCCTCAGACTGTTGGGGGGCCAGACTATAGTTTGGAAGAAATATGAAAGAATTCCTATGCACACTGAACATTAATTAAAATTAAAATTATTTAAAATTAATTAAAAATAACTAAAAATTTAAAAATGTTTGCTCCGCTCACTTGTGGGACAGCTACAATGTCCGCGATCATGCTTGGAGGCGGGGGGAGATGGGTGCAATCATGCAGGCCATCTCTTCCCAGCATGACTGCGATTGCACCCGTGTTCCCTGCACAAGAGTGCCCACGATCGCAGCCATCTCCCCATCCCCCACTCCCAGCACAATTGTGCAGGGAAGGCGGGCGCACTCGTGCAGGGAAGGCCATCTCCCCCCCGCAAGCATGATCGTAGCCATCTCTCCCCACAAGCACAACCACTCGGAGATCATTTTCTCTGAGCGAGTCCAAAAGCTCTGAGGCGGGCCTGATAAATGTACATGGTGGGCTGGATCCGGCCCGTGGGCCATAGTTTGCAGACCCATGGCCTAGACCTTAGGCTGCCTTTCAAACCTGGCCTATGAACTTACCCCAACTTGGCCATGCCTGAAGCAGTATATCTTATGGCACAACTGCAAGGTGATTAGAAACTTTCACTTGTTTTCAATTAATCCTGGTTTGTTATGTACAGACTTGAAACTGCAGATACTCTTAACTAAGGCCATCATAAACCAACATTACAAGTCAGTATGTCTCCGTAAACTAGCCTCCCTAATCTGGATCACTCCAGATAATATTGGCCTACAAATCCCATTATTCTTGACTATTGTATATGCTGTCTGAAGCTGATGGAAGTTGCAGGTTAAACAAGTGCAGGAATCTAGGAAAGCAGCCCTAAAATACAGTTAAGATTAGACACTTTGTCTGGGTTTAGACATAGATGATAACAATGTGATTTGTTGAAAACTGAAGTAAATGCTGCCTCCCAGAGAATGGAAGTGAAGACATGTGAAACTAAGATGTGTGCATGTCAAGCTAAATTATAGTTTAGTATTTCTGAATACAGCCACTGTACGCTTATACAAATTAGATGACAGAACTTGTTTAAAAGGTGCTCTTGACAAGTGGTATTTGGATCAACATAGAGTTCAGGGTCTTTATAAAGACCCACTCTTAAGATGCTGCATCCACTAATGCATCTCATTAAAAAGATCTGAGAAGACCTCCCTAAAACACTCTGTAAAGAAACCTAACCAAAAAAGGGAAAAGAGGCTTCAACTGTGTGCCCAAAATTCTGTTTAAAGAATTTATCTTTTTAGGGATGGTTCAAACTCTTTTAGTATGGGCTAACTTGTAGACTAAGGAGAGTGGAACTTAATCCCTACAGACTTCCATTTTTTTTTTAAATTAAGGAATTCAATATGTACATGGGATAAAAGCAAAAAGATACAAAGAAAAACAGTTCAAACTAAAAAGGAACATCCTTTCTCACTTAAAACCATAGTTCTAGACAGGTGCATAATGATGTCCTTGGTTACAAAACAGCCCTAATTTCATCCCTCTTTTTAAAATGCCACCAAAGGTAGTTGCAGGCATATATTGTCTCCAAGAACCAAGAAGAACAAAATTGGCCCATGGCTTCCAAAGCATTTCAACTCACAAAAATAAGTTGTTTCTTACACTCTCTGGCACAGGAAAAAAAACCCTCTATATCTACATACTTTTGAAATTTCCTGTTTGGTCCCTTGCACAGCAAAACAGTTCTAAATGGAACAAGTAGTCAGTCCACTTTGGACAGGAGCCAGTCTCTACTGGCTTGCTGGCAGTGGGGATGGTTTGCACAAACCAATCAGAGACTGTGACAACATTGTGTTTATAGGAAGCTGAAATTAAGTATCTGTGAAGTTCTGAATAATCACACCTAGTCTTTGGGTATGATCTACCTGGATGCCAGACCTTCAATCCTGTTAACAGCATTTATCCCACAAGAGAAAGAGGGAAAGGAGAGCAGGGGAAAAAGGGATTTGAGCAGCTGCTGCCAGAGGGACAAGTCTCCAATTCACAAAGTTAACAGCATATGTACTCCCAAGGAGTCAGTCTGTTCTTAAATGAGGTTGTTAAAAATATAACTAGTTTTTATCACAAACTGTTGCATACTTTTGATGAGTGTTCTGCTTGTGGGGAAGGCACAAGGAATATTAGCAAAACCAACAGCTACTACTGACAGCCTCTGATGTAGCCATACATAGACCATGACATGAAAATTTTCCAGACCTGCCCATTCCACACTGGCAAGGGTTTGTATTTAACTGGCAGATTTGGCTAAACCAACTTTGTAGATATGGACAGACTACCTTGCAAGTTCATTTGTCATTTGGTCTGTAGGACAAAATAGTTTCTTCAAGTTCCATAGCAGTGTCAACAAAGAATAAATATATTCCACTGCAGTCAGCGACCAAGTCACCACAGTTTAATTCTTGAGAAATCCTTAAGGCCCCTCCACCAGGAGACATAAGTAGTTTTATAGCTGTCATTCTTAGGAAAGCAGTAAGAGTCATAGTGTCACAATTAAATAGCCACCGGTCAAGAGCTGTGTTGTTTGGATGGAGAGGAAAATCATAGGATATTCAGCAGTAGTAGAAAGAAGCCCATTGTTGGTTTTCCAGCAAAATTACACTAGGAATCATGCTTTAGCTCTACCCTGCTGATAACTGTAGTGGTTTAGTCTTACTGGACTCAACCTTGCAGCAGTCACTGAAAATGAGAGATGATCAGGTAGACTGGTCAAAGCCACCCTATAATTTCTCTTCTCTGTGTCCTTGTATGCTTTGCTTTCCCTATTCCTAGCCTCCTGAAAATGTTTTAGCTCAAAGTCCAACATGGTTCTTTACCAGTTTTCAGTTATGCAAGGCAGGGATACTTGAAATGCGTTTATGGAGGTCAAGCACATTTGCCTTTTTAAAAAATAGAAAGCTTTAATTCCCTAAAATATAAACAATCCATCTGTATCAGTTTAAAGCTGGTTCAAAAGTCATCAAAACAGGGGATTCTTTTAAATTATTTTCAAGTTTGACCCCTTAAAGCAGTAGACTCATGTTGCTTTTTAGATGTTAAAAAACTGGTCAGAACCCATGTCTAACCTCACATTCTGACAGTTTTACTGGTAGTGCTTGTCAAATTTCAAGGCTGTTGCTGACTGAAACTGAAAATGAGGTAAATAATTAATAGAGGGCAAGTTCACATGTCATGCTAAGCAACCCTAGGGAATAAACCACAGTAGGTGGTTTGTATCGTACCCCTGAAAGGTGATCACCCACTCAGCAGCTTGCTGTGGCTTGTTTCCTCCTCAGTCCTTCTCTGCCTTTCCACTACAAGCATGTATTCCAGGAGCCTTTCCAGTAGAAATGCTCATTTATTTCTTGTCAGCATCCTTTATCTAATTGGTCTGCTGGGGTTGCTGGATCATGAGGGAAGCCCCAT